TAATTATTTCATATATTCTAAATTATTTTTTCAGCTTACATTCTAAATTTTTTCATATGTTCTAAATTATTTTTTCAACTTATGTTTTAAATTTTTTTTCCTATATTCTAAATTATTTTTTCAGATTATGTTCTTAATTTTTTCCTATGTTCTAAATTATTTTTCATATGTTCTAAATTTAGCCTATGTTTTAAATTTTTTTTCCTATATTCTATATTATTTTTTCGGCTTATGTTTTAAATTTTTTCCTATGTTCTAAATTATTTTTTCAACTTATGTTTTAAATTTTTTTCCTATATTCTAAATTAATTTTTTCAGTTTATGTTCTAAATTATTTTTCATATGTTTTAAATGTTTGTTTGTTTATGTTCTAATTTTTTTTTTCTATGTTCTAAATAATTTTTTTCAGCATATGTTCTAAATTTTTTCTTATGTTCTAAATTTTTTTTTCAGCTTATGTTCTAAAATTTTTCCTATGTTCTAAATTTTTTCCTATGTTCTAAATTATTTTTTAGCTTATGTTCTAAATTTTTTCCTATATTCTAAATTATTTTTCATATATTCTAAATGTTTGTTTGTTTAGGTTCTAAATTTTTCATATGTTCTAAATTTTTTTTCCTATATTATACATTTTTTTTCCTTATGTTCTAAATTTTTTTTTCAGCTTATGTTTTAAATTTTTTTCTATGTTCTAAATTTTTTTTTTCAGCTTACGTTCTAAATTTTTTCTTATGTTTTAAAAGTTGGTTTGCTTATGTTCTAAATTTTCCTATAATCTAAATTTTTTTCCTAAATTCTAAAGTTTTTTCTTATGTTCTAAATTTTTTCCTATATTTTAAATTATTTTTTCAGCTTATGTTTTAAATTTTTTTTCTATGTTCGAAATTATTTTTTCAATTTATGTTCTAAATTTTTTCCTATGTTCTAAATTATTTTTCATATGTTTTTTTGTTTATGTTCTAAATTTTTCCTATGTAGTAATTTTTTTTCCTATATTCTATATTATTTTTTCAGCTTATGTTCTAAATTTTTTCCTATGTTTTAAATTATTTTTTCAGCTTATGTTCTAAATTTTTTCCTATGTTCTAGATATTTGTTTTCTTATGCTTTAAATTCTTCTTCTTGTTTTTTTTTTTGTTGTTGTAAATAGGTGCGTAGTCCTGGAGTTGATATAAATATCCTATGTGTTGCCCCTAGACATGCTACGCGAGAGGTAAGATATAACTTTTGTCTGCTTCTATACTTTTTCCATTATTTTTTGCTACTTTAGTGCCCCTTAACTTATTATATTTTACTGGATATAGGAAGATTTCTTCGAAGAACTCCATTAGATGCTTTCTGAGATGCCTGAGGTTACAAAGTTGCACCCTGTGCCTGATGCTTTTGTCCCGGTGATGAGATTTAAGTTCAATGGGGTGTCCATAGATCTTCTTTATGCAAAATTGTCGCATTTGAGTTTCTACATTGCATGTGATTGTTTTCCTCGGCTTCTATGGGAGGGTGTTGATTTATATTAAAAACCTATTAGCTCAAGTGGTAGAGCACTATGCAAATGCATAGTTGATATAGGTTCGAATCCTACATAGGCAATATTTATAAATAACTATATAAGAAAAACTTTAGAAAATAGGTAGTAAAAGTTTAGAACATAAAAAAAAAAAAAAAAAAAAAAAAAACTTTAGAACATAAGTAGACTGAATTTAGAACATAGGCAAAAGAATTTTGAACATAGGAAAGAATATTTTAAACATAGGAAATAAAAACCGTTAGAACATAGGTAGAAAAAATTTAGAATATAGGAAAAAATTAGAACATAGGTTGAAAAAATTTAGAACACAGGAAAAAAAAACTTTAGAACATAAGTAGACTAAATTTAGAACATAGAAAAAAAAAAAATTTGAACATAGATAAAAGAATATTTAGAATATAGGTAAAAGAATATTTAGAACGTAAACAAAAAAAAAGAAACTTTAGAACATAGGTAGTAAAAATTTAGAACTTAGGAAAAAAAAACTTTAGAACATAAGTAGACTGAATTTAGATTATAGGCAAAAGAATTTAGAACATAGGTAAAAGAATATTTAGAACATAAGAAGAAGAAAAAAAACTTTAGAACATAGGTTGGAAAAATTTAGAACATAGGAAAAAAAAAAAAAAAAAAAAAAAAAAAAAAAAAAAAAAAAACTTTAGTATATAAGTAGACTAAATTTGGAACATAGAAAAAAAAAATTAGAAAATAGGTAGACTAGATTTAGAACATAAGAGTAGGCAAAAAAATTTAAAACATAAAAAAAGAATTACAGAAATGCCATTACTAAAGGATGGTTTTAGATGGTTGGATCAAAACTAATAAATGGTTGAGATTGGTTCTTATATAAGATTGAGTTCTTATATAGAGGAGGGTTCTTACATGAGCCTTCCTCTATATATATATATATATATATATATATATATATATATATAATATATATATATATATATATATATATATATATTAATCCCATCTACCCGTCTTAATAAATAAATAAATAAATGGACAAAAAATGGATGAAAAGTGGGCAATGAGTGGGTGATAAATCGGATTGGATCTCCATCTTGAACCATCCACCTACTCATTTAACATATTTTTTTTAATAAATTATATCTTAATTTTTTTAAAAAATACAAAACATGCAAAGATTATACACTTTATTTTATTTTATTTTAATTTTTATTGTTACAAAATAATTTTTCAACAAATAAATTTGTTGGTATTGTTTAATTTACTTTATTATATATATCATCCCAAAGAAAAAGAATACTTCACATTATTTATTTATTTTAATTTTGAAGAAAGCATACTTCACATTATTATTTATGAGAGCATTAAATTATATTCAATGAACTTAAAAGTTATTTATTTATTTTTCTCCATATATATATTTTGCATGATTTGTATCGATCTCATTAGGAATTGAATACATCAAAATGTTTTTATTTTTTTTATAAAAAATTGCTATCTCCTTATTCTACTTCTTTTTTTTTTTTAGAAAAAGATATTGTGTTACACAAATTATTAAAAGTAGTTCATACTTCGTATTTAATTAGTTGGAATTTTTACGGAAATAATAATTGGTCGATGATCAATCAATATTAATTGCTGTAAATTTCTATTTAATTGTATTAATTCAAACTAAGCATTGACTAGTAATAATTGCTTAGAATATGTTCTCTTCAGCTTAATTTCAGTTCAGTTCAGCTCCTAATTTCCTTCTCTCATAAAATATTCATTTCAGCTCAGTTCAGTTCAGCTCAGTTCAATAAATGTGAACATGTCTTTAGTATGTTAATAAAAGAGAGATTTTTCATTATATACATTACCATTAAACAAACAGAGTACGTAATACGATTCCAAAAAAATAAAAATAAAAAAAGCAAACAAAGTAATAATAAGAAGTATAAATAAATAAGAATATATTTGTGGATGGACTTTAAACGGAATATTGAAACATCTTTATGGACGTTGATCTGTCGAGAGAGTTTTTACTACTGCACATATATATAAGTATAACAATTGTCACTCAGTATATTATATGTATAATATAACAATTTTCAGTCAAAAAACATATTATAATTATATCAACAATAATTCATCAATGATAACAGTATAACACACCAATTATTCAATTCTGCAATTTTGTATCCATGAGTTGTAACGTGCCAGCCCATAACTCTTAGGAATACGATCGAGTATGTCATACATATCATATTATTAATGATAATTATTGCATCCTAAAATAAAATAAAATAAAATAAAATAGGAAATATGGAAAAGAAAAATCCAACCTTTGGGCGGTCTGATAATAAAAATTCAACCTTTAATTAATCTCACAAAAATCCAACCTTTATACCCTACCTTCTTTTATAGATCCGTTTGACCTTGAACCTGTTAATCATGTTATTTTTTTTCCCTTTTTTTTCTTTCTCCTTCCTCCTTACTTTCTCTTTCCTTCTCCTTCATATTTTCCGGTCACCGACCACAACCACCCAACCACGACCACCAGAACCCACACCCTAATCCCTCCCCCCCCAAAATTCGAGCCACCCTAACTCCTTCCCCATGAAAACCGACCACCCCAACCCCCTTTCCCATGAAAACCCGATCACCCTAATCCCCAAATCGACCACCCTAACCCCCTCCCCTACAAAATCCGACCATCCCTCCCCGTCCCTTGCAAAATTCGACCATCCCCTCTTCCATGAATTAATTTGTGTAAAGTTTGTTTGTTTGTTTTTTTTTTTTTTTGTTGAAATTGGATTAAAACCCATGTAAATGGCTAATTATGGGTGTTACGGGTTTCAGCAAATGGGGATGGGATGGGTTACGATTTTCAGGTGGAATGGGGGATGCGATTTCAGGTGGTGGTCGGTTTAGGGTCGAGGTGGAGAAAGGGTCAGGACAGGGTAGGGATTAGGGTCAGTTTTGGGTTGCCGACAATTGGGATTTGGCGGTGGGTGAGATCGATGGGTGGCTAGCGTTGCACGCGCAGGGGAAGGGGAGTTGCACGCCGGGGAGGGAGGGGGAGAGGGAGTGGTGGCAGAGGAAGGTGGTGGTGGAAAAGGGGATTTGAATTTTTTTTTGTTTTTTTATTTATTTTTGTTTTAATTTTTTTAATAATTAAAAAAACAATTGACCTATTAGTAGTTGACACGTGGCATATAACTTACAAAAACCGGTCATCAACAGGTAATGGATCTTTAGATGAAGGTGGGGTATAAAGGTTAGATTTTTCTGAGATTAAACGAAGGTTGGATTTTTATTGTAAGACCGCGCAAAGGTTGGATTTTTAATTTCCATTTTTCCAATAAAATAATTATATGAATATCTGCCCTAGATATATCTATCTTGTATAAACCACATGGTTCACACAAGCTGTAATTGCATAATATATTCCAAATTTAGTAATATTATAATTCCAAGCATGCCCTTCACCATCTATAAAAGGAATAATGTATCATACCAATTTTTTCATCCCAAAAAAAAAATAAATTTTTATCTAAAATAAAGATGTTGAACACATCCACCAATAATATTAGCAAAACCCCATCACCTTTTTTGTTGCCAAAGCCCTTTGTTAATGGAAATGAAACTAATTTTGTTCAACTATACAATTCATCTAGGGTAAATAATGCATCAATTGGTGCATTATTTTCTAGGAAGTTGTATGGTGGTGGTGGTGCCGTTACTAGGGCACATCGTGGTCGAAATGGCCGCCTTAGAGTTAAGGCAGTGGCAGCCGTAGGTGGTGAACAGGCTGTGAAGGTTAAGGCCACCATTTCAGTACAACCAGCGATTGGTTTATTGAGCAACCTTAATCTTAACCGAGGGCTTGATGATATGACTGATTTGTTGGGTAAATCCATCCTTTTGGAGCTTGTTAGTGCTGAGACTCAATCGAGTAAGTAAATGACACGTTGATATGATATTACTACGAATTTGATATTACTACGAATTTTATTTATGCTTTCTCTACTATTCTATTTAGCGGGTGGATTACTCATAATTTTATGATAGAATCAAAGCATATACACAAACTTTTAAATAAATCGGGTGTACATCCATAATAAAGATGGCTAAAGTAATCAAAAGTTACCCCTGAAATGAATAAATGTTACTCCAATATGCATAAAAGTAACCTAATAGAAATAAAAATTATCTACGCTTTATTAGTATAAAATCACATTTTAAATGACTAAAAATTAATTATTAGTGAGTGAATGTAATTAGATTACCATTATAAAACTTTTTTGTTGTCTATTTATATAAAAATTGTATTAGGTTTAAAGTTATTCAAAAAAAGGCAAAACATTACCCTAAAATTAGGTAAAAATTATTCTTATACTGCTCGATGTACAGTAACATCAATGTAAAGTAGGTGTATACAAAAGTTTTTCAAGCATATATTACTTCTATACAAAGTAAGTAACATGCGCGCAACCAAATAGAAAGTAACATTCAATTCATCTAGTTAAAGAAACTTTAATACAAACGTATTGTTTTTCTAATTTCTTGACAGGACGTACAATTTGAACGACAATCAATTTATTAAGGGTGGACATATATGTTGATACTTGATAATATAGTGCAATAATTGGACTAATTAATTAACTGTACCAAATGAAATAAAAGTTGGACTAATTAATCTAATTATAGATTATGTGACTTAGCTAGCTCCCTCTAATCCTAAAAGTTCAACTCATTTGACTTTATTTTAAGGCATTTAAGATTTGAAAATTATATTGTGACAAATCTAACAATATCCCACATTTTCACATATAAACTATTCGTAATTTTTTCTTTTCTTTCTAATAAGTAATAACTATATACATGAGTATTTTAAACGGGACATACATAAAAATTAAATGAGTCGAGCTTTTAATAATTTTTGTTGTATGATGTTGTCAAAGAATCAGGATTGGAGAAGGCGACAATCAAAGGATACGCCCACCGAACAAAATCGGAGAAGGGATTGGTAAAATATGAATCAGATTTGGTAGTCCCACCAGAATTTGGAGAAGTTGGTGCTGTACTTATTGAAAACGAACACCATACAGAGATGCACCTCATTGATATTGTCCTTGATGGCTTGCCTTTTGGTTCATTACAATTTAATTGCAATACATGGGTCCATGCCAAATTCGACAACCCTGAAAAAAGGGTTTTCTTTACTAAGAAGGTACGAGTAATACTCTACATAATGAAATACGTTTAGTATTTTAAGTGATACACTTTAACTTTTTTTATTATTTTTTTTCAACTATTTACATATGGAGTATTATTTTTTGAATTAATTTTTTTTACTTGTATATAATTACTATCAATTTTATACTATAAATTGTCTTTATTGATAAATAATTAAATATATTAGAAATCAAACATTTGTCTGGACATGAATGACAACTAACAAGTGCTAGTTTGTCACTAACGGAGTAAAAAAAAAAAAAGAAAATTAAAACAAAAGAAGAGGGAGTATTTCATATGTTTTTTTTTTGACCCAAGTATTTCATATGTTTTATACAAATTATTTTATGGTAAGTTTAATTTACTATGTATATGTCATTGACTCTATGTATATCTAGTCTCATAATACAAGACTTATATTAGGTTAGATTCAATTCAATAATTAATGTTAATTATTTTTTATTTGGTATGAATTTTCGACATTAGAACTGTTTCATATTATAAAGTGTTTTCAATTCGGTTTGACTAATTGATAATTATTGGTCACCCAACATGTATGAGGTAGTCGGATTGATTTTATCTAATTATTAATTTTTTTTTGACAAATTCTATTTGATTTTTTTTTTTTTCAAATTTATGGATTTTCAAATAGTTGAAAATTAAATAAAACTCAACATTGAATTTGATATATAATTGTACAATCATTAAGTAACGATTATTTTATATACATATAGTCATACTTGCCATCACAAACACCAGCTGGATTGAAGAAGTTAAGAGAAAAGGAGCTTAAAAGTTTGAGAGGGGATGGAAAGGGGGAGCGCAAGTGCTTTGAAAGAATTTATGATTATGACATTTACAACGATGTTGGCGATCCTGATAGAGATCCCGCATTGGCTAGACCCGCTTTGGGTGGTAGCAAAGATCTTCCTTACCCTCGACGTTGTAGAACTGGACGTCCTCCTACTAAGACAGGTATTAATTTCATTTCTTTTCATGATCTCCAAGATACACACTGCAAGAGTATAACAACCTATATATATTTTTTTTATTATTAAATTTCATCAATAAAAACCATAATGAAAAGTATAATATATACATACCTTTAAATCTATTGAAGAAATACAAGTTTATTTTGATAAACAAATTAAAATGTGTTCGTTCATCAACAATCCTATCGTTGGACCAATTAATAATAAAATGTTGCTAATTTAATTACCAGTTTGCCACTTGATGATGAATGGGGCCTTCCTTAAATATACGCATTCAAATTTATCTTATGAATGCAATCTCATGTACAGATCCAAGTTCGGAAAGCAGATCTAATACAGTGTATGTACCTAGAGATGAACAATTCTCAGAGGTGAAGCAAGCACAATTTGGTTTCACAACCGTGTACTCGGTGTTGCATGCTGTGATACCATCATTAGAGACCGCCATGGTTGATCCTGATCAAGGATTTCCATACTTCACTGCCATCGACTCGCTATTCAACGAAGGGGTTCATTGTCCTGGATTGCAACAAAATGGAGTCTTGCAAAATATGTTGCCTAGGCTCATCAGGGCCGTCACTGACATTGAAAAAAACATGCTTCGTTTTGAGCTCCCTAAGATATTTGACCGTATGAACTTTTTCTAATTACTCAACTTAATTACTAACTCTTAATATAAAGTGTTACTCCAGATTAATCTGACACGCTTTGTCTTAAATCACAACTTTAACTAATGTTGTGTTTAAAGTCAAAGCGTGCCAGATATTCATAAACATAATAAAGGGAGTAATAGTTTTGACATAATTGACTGTTTTGACTAATTAAGCTAAGTAGTTAATTAATATAGTAAATTTTATGGTTGACTTGCAGGGGATAGGTTTTCTTGGTTTAGAGATGAGGAGTTCTCTCGTCAAACTCTTGCTGGCTTGAATCCTTTGAGTATCAAGCGTGTCACGGTATAATTTGAAACCTAATTTATATACAACTAATACAAGAATTCATAAACGTACTTTCACTATATATAGTTTATGTAAAATGCTAGAGGTCGAATGAAGGCCTAAATAATCACTGAAATGTGCATAATTATCTATTTCGTCTATAAAATAAAATGAAATTGTAATCATATTTACATGTCATTCTCACAGGAATGGCCACTAAAGAGTAATCTGGATCCTAACATCTACGGTCCATCCGAATCGGCTTTCACAACAGAGCTCATACAGAGCCAGATAAAGGGTTCCATGACTCTTGATCAGGTTGTTATAAGATCAATTATGTTGTTCAACTATATATATATAGGAAAATTCCCTGTTTCTCATAGTGAGAAACAAAATTTGTTTCTCATGGGGCATTTTCGTGAATAAATTAACAATCATTATTGCGGGCTCCACAATTGAATAAAGTTAAATAAAGTTGTTGGTTTATTCATAAAAATGCCATGTCCCATGAAAAACTATCCATATTTTTTTTATGTGCAATGTATGTAAATGAATATATCATACTTGTTAAGGCGACTAAGAAAAAATGATGATATTGGCAGGCATTGAAAGAAAAGAAGTTGTTTATAATTGATTATCATGACATGTTTATGCCATACGTGAACAAAGTAAGGGAGCAAAAAGGGACAACATTATATGCATCACGAACTTTGTTCATCCTTAATGATGATGGAACACTAAGACCTTTAGGTATTGAATTAACTCGGCCTCCCGTAGATGGGAAGCCTCAATGGAAGCAAGTGTATATGCCGGGAACTAGTGCCACTTCCGGTTGGCTATGGAAGCTTGCTAAGGCACATGTCCTTTCCCATGACTCGGGTTACCACCAACTTATTAGCCATTGGTACGTTCATTTTACCTATTTTTTGCACTTGGATAAGTTAAGTTGATAACTTTAAAACCACATATTTGCTATCCTTTTTTTTAATATGCTACAAATTAAGGTCTTGGGCCTGTTCTCATACGTTTATTTTCAGTTGAGTTCAGTTCAATTCAGCTCCTAATTTCCTTCTCATATAAAATATTCATTTCAGTTCAGTCAATGAGAACAAGCCCTTAACTTACCTTAAATATTTAATTTGTACCTAAACATATCTTTACTTGATGATTGTAGGCTTAGAACTCATTGTTGCACGGAACCTTACATAATTGCTGCAAATCGTCAATTGAGTGAAATGCACCCAATATATAGGCTATTGCACCCTCATTTTCGATACACCGTAGAGATCAACGCTCTTGCTCGGCTAGCTTTGATTAATGCAGGCGGTATCATTGAGGGTTCCTTCTCACCCGGGAAGTATGCCTGTGAGATTAGCTCTGTCATTTACGGCTTGGAGTGGCGATTTGATCATGAAGCCTTACCAAATGACCTTATTAGCAGGTAATTTAAAATTAAAATACACTTTTGCAACATCAATTTGGTTGGTAATGAAGCATGAATTAGTTAACTAACTAGACACGAATTTACTCCTTAATTCATGTTATCCATGGTGTAAATTGAACAAACACTATTGTAACAATTAAAATCTTGTCAAACATATCAGTTAATTAATTAATACGGAGTAGAAAATAATATACATAGTCCTTATGGGCTTATGACTACTTATAGTGTTATAAGAATAGAATTTAAAATTGAGAAATATAAATGAAAACATAACATTTATTTATGCTGATTTGCAACGTTATTTTATCATGTATTCCTCCTTTATTATAGGGGATTGGCAGAAGAAGATCCATCAGCACCACACGGATTAAAGCTAACAATAGAGGACTACCCATACGCGAATGATGGCTTAGAGTTATGGTCTATCCTAAAGCAATGGGTGGCAGATTATGTGAACCACTACTACAAAGACCCGAGCCTAGTAGAATCGGACCAAGAGCTTCAAGCTTGGTGGACCGAGGTAAGAACCGTAGGGCACGGAGACAAGAAAGACGAGCCATGGTGGCCGAACCTCAAAACAAACGAAGACCTAATCCAAATTGTAACAACCATTATATGGGTTACTTCAGGGCATCATGCAGCCGTAAACTTCGGACAATATGCATATGCGGGTTACTTTCCTAATAGGCCTACTGTGATGAGGGCTAAGATGCCTACAGAAGACCCCACTATTGACGAATGGAAACACTTTATTGATAAACCCGAGGAGACCCTACTTCGAAGTTACCCTTCTCAAATACAAGCTACTAGAGTAATGGCAATTTTGGACGTACTTTCGGGTCATTCACCCGACGAGGAATATCTAGGTGAGAGTATGGAGCCTTCTTGGGAGAATGAACCTATGATTAAGGCGGCTTTCGAGAAGTTTAACGGGAGGTTGAAGGAGTTGGATGGGATCATTGATGAGAGGAATGCTAATGAGAACTTAAGGAATAGAAATGGAGCTGGTGTTGTGCCTTATGAATTGTTGAGGCCATTTTCTGAACCTGGTGTTACTTCTATGGGAGTTCCTAATAGTATTTCCATTTAGAATAAACATTATATTCATTAAGTATGCACAAGAGCATGCATAATTGTGACAATTAATTTAAGTTGCTAGTTCTTTCAAGCAAAAATTAAAAATTGAAATTGAAAGTGAGCAAATGAAAAAATGTCCTTTCGATTGTGTGCACTTTTTACAATAAAATAATGGAATGCTATTTTGTTTTTCTTGCATTATTTTTTTCTATGTACTTCTTGAATTTTAGCGTTATAATTTCTAAATTCTACTTGGTATTATGCTTATTTAAAACAAAATGCACGAATAATACTCTTCTAAAACCATATCATTCAATCAACAAAATTAAAAAAGTTTTTTGGTTAGGCTAGAAAATTTGTGCTGTTGCAAGATAATAAAAACATAAAGCGAAAAGTAAAACACATGAAAGAGTTTAAATGATATGTAGTATTAGATCCCGAAATTAATTATAATAACATTACTAATGAAATAACCATTTGAAATCAAAACTAAAGACGACAATTGAACGAACTTTTTAATTACGTATAATACATCATACAAAATATCTACACTTCCGCATCATAACAAAGAGCTACACAATTGGGCCTTAGATAATTGAATTATGGAAGATTTTCTTATGGAATGATATTACAATAATTAAAAAGGAAATAACAATTTTTCATAAATATTGTAAAAAAAAAACTTAAAAAAAACTTTTAAAAAAAATCATAAATAAATTGATTCCTTCAGACGTGTCAATTGGGCAAATACGTCCGTAGTGACTAGGATGGATATCTCGTATCCGAAAACTAGCGGTTCGCCCTGTCAATCCCCCAGGGCCCAAATAACTCAACTTTCTCCCATGAACTTTATATTGTTTTTTGTCTTTTTAACAATTACTCGTAAAATATGTCAATTTTTTCCACGTAGGAAATCAAAGCTTGCGTATCAACAATGACGTACTTTGGAATATCTTGTTTGGAAATTTGTGTAATTGTGTTTACTTATTAAAATAGGAGTAGGACCACTTAAGAAAAAATGTTTTGCACGGGGATAAGGTGTAAACGTGATATCCACGGATCAAATCGACCAATAAGAACCCTTCATTTGGGATTTGTAGATATACTTTAAGAATTATAATCCGTATTTAACTAAATAACTAATAAATTCTTTCAAAAAAAAAAAAAAACTAAATAACTAATAAATTGACAAACTTTCAAGAACGTCTTTATCGTACTATTGATCGAGTTATCAATTATCACCTTAAATAGCAAGTTTCGTCTCTCACTCCCCCTAATAATGCACCTATTGACTTATAAAATTTAAAGTGTAATTACAAATAAAATCATTGATATTTTTTATAATACGGACAATTTTGTGAAAATGTGACTATATTAAAATTATTGACAATTATTTTAGAGGTCGGAAATGACGTGTCAATATATCATACATTCCACATACATCTTCTTATAAAACTAGTGAGCAAATTGTATAGACAAATTCAAATAAGGTTTAATTAATTATTTTTTATTTACAACTTAAACAATTGCATTAAATTGGGGATGCGTAACAAAATTATGTGCAAATAAGTATAATTAATGTTATATTTCATTTGTGTTTTTTCCATGTTAAAGTTTTTGCATGGAGCTTGGAGTTAGGACTATGTATAATAACTTTTTCCTTTTTTAACTAACTAATTGACATTATACTGTATTTATTAGTCAAGTCTTGAAAATTACTGTAATTTAAAGAGATATTTAGTCAGAAAACACTATTTGTAACATTGTTTGTTCAAACATCAAATCGAATCCTATTTTAAAATAAAAATCCATAAACTTATATTATCCCACTATTGATGATGATTGTCAACCACACGATTTCAAAAGTTAACACTTAACAGCACTCTTATTATTTTCTTACCTTATTTTGAGAATACATATCATACGCTATATCTGGGTGTATCTACACGGAGAATATATAAGACTAGCTAGATTGTAATAAATTCTCTAGTCTATTCTATATAAAAAGGGTATTTTTCTTCTTGCTTGCTGAAATGTTGTAATCTCAGTGTAGAAAATGGAAAAAAACATGTACATACATTGAATTTAGTTTAAGATGTGAGTTTATGTTCCTTTCCATACGCCATACCATTAAAGCTTGCAGGCTTGTTTCTAGAATGAATTATACTGGCATTTTGCTTCTTTGATTTGTAGGTAGGGTGTACATTATTTTATTTTATTTTCAATGTTTTTTTAATGCATCATTTTCTTTTCGCTATTTATATATGTATATATATACATACATCTTATTTGATTATTTTTTTAGATTTATATGTAAGAAAATGTATAATCACGTTTCACGTATAGTTTGATACGGAGTAATATCATATTCCATTCATTATATGTCCTCAAAGGATATCTTGAAAAAAGAAAAATTAAAATTATATATATTAATAATACTTATATATGTTATATAAATTGACAAGCATGAAACTCCAACGTAATTTTGTCTTGTATGTATTTTTGCTCTAAACCCTTCGTGACAGCTGGATGTAAATGGAGTATGAGTCTTGAAAATGCCACATTACTAGTACAAGTGATAAATTTAGGGTTTGTCATTTACTAATGATTGGCCCAGGTAACAATGACTACTACGTTGTAGCAACATGTTACTCGTACGTACATGGTAGTTGTTTTATTGTGCATGGTCCATTTTTCAAGTCAATATAAATAAAGAAAATAAATCTCTTGTAATTTTCATTAAACATTGTCTACATCTATGTGTGATTATTATCACTATATTAATTTATATCTAAAATTTTTGTATCCCACTTGATTAGGGGATTTTTATCCACCAATCACCGTCTGACAAGTGGACCAACCAGGTTCCGCCACGTGTCCTTCACGTAGGCCAATAGGAGTCTGCCACGTGTCAATCACAGATACGTCCTCTACGGACCAATTGAGACACTCCACGTGTCCACCCATGCCAAATGGGAAAACCGGCCAACAAGGCCCAATCCTGTTTAGAGGCCCGGTCAGCCCTAGGTTTACCCTAAACCTAGAGAGTGGCACGCTTCTCAAGACTATAAATACTTAATTAATCCTCATTAAAGGGGATCAAGCAATTAATCTCACCTGAAGAACGGAACAGAACAGAAACATTACGGAACACACTAATAACCGGCTGATCTCGCTAACAAAGCAGATTACCTACATAAAACACTCTCACCTAGAGAGATCTTATTACTTTAATTTCCGCATTAATTACTCCTAAATCAGGTACTAACTTGACCGTTGGAGGCGGAGCTCTCAGGAGTCTCCGTTATTTTGCAGGTACAGGCGTCCGGTTCCAGTCTCGGAATTGTAACTCTCCCGCAGGACATCAGAAAACCCCGAAACATTTGGCGCCGTCTGTGGGGAGAGTACTTCAGAGATGGCATCCAAGTCTGTACCGACTCCTGAAGAGAGGCGTCCCCTAAACGACCCTCAAGTTCAGTCGGACCATGACACCGAAAGTGAATTTGAAGTTGAAACTCATACAGTTCCAGACGGGACCCTAAGGGCCCGACGTACCCGTCATACCGAAAGGAGGGAACGGGAGCATCTTCAAACAGGAAGCGAGCCAGCAGGCGCACCGCCTGCTCGGCAACAGCCGACTGATGGGTCTGCTCCCATCACAAGGAACGAACTCATGACCTTCATGAGGGACTTCAAGGGAGAGATTCAAGAGTTGATCAACAAGAAGCCGCCTGCTTCAGTCAAGGAGCAGTCGGCCAAGAAACCTTCCACTTCACTGAAGAGGAAGCCAGTTCAAGGGCGAGAGGCGACTCCTCATCCTAAATCTAGGAAGCGGGAGCCACCTGCCCTTGATTTCACAAAATTCCGTTATCCTACAGGAAATAGGAAACCGGTTCGTCATATTCAGGCGGACGGGTCAAAGCAAACATTCACAGATGCTCGGCTACTGCTAGAGCAGAAGAAGAGTGACCGATTGTCCGAGTCGGCTTCTACTTCAGACTTTCAAGACAGTTTGCGAAATGCCTCGATGAGGCATACTCAATCGTACCATGAGAGTCAGTCAGGCGACACCTCCCGTCAGTCCGGCTTTCATAGTGCCCAGGCGGTACCAAACTTACCATTTGTGCCGCAACAACAGTATTTTATGCAGCCACCTCCATTTGGTGGACCTACAGCAAAAAACGTCCAACCTATGGACTGGCAGCTACGATTGCTTAGACTTGGTGAACAGCCGTCGGCCTTCTCCAAGGAAATTACTGAAGCCGCTCAGCCGGCCAAAGTGAAAAATGTACTAGTAGGCGCCTATGACGGCACTACTAACCCAGAAGACCATCTGATGGCATCACCAACCTGATGTACCTTCAAGGGTTGGATGATCCCACTTGGTGCAAGTGTTTCCCAGCGACTCTCAAAGGAATCGCACAACAATGGTTCGGCAACCTGCCGACTGGTTGTGTAAATAGCTTCAGGACGCTTGCTTACTTATTTGCCTCCAACTTCGCCATGAACATCCCTGCAAAGAAAACGACCCTTGATTTGGGAACAATTCAACAGGGCGAGAAGGAGGGGCTTCGCTCTTACATCAGGCGGTTCAACCTGATGAGAATACAGATTCAAGGGTTACCGGATGAGGTAGCTTATACCGACTTTTTTAGAGGTCTCAAAGACGGGTCTACCTTCAAGTTTGATTTGGTTCGAAAAAGGGTGGCGACTCTTCAAGAGGCCTTGATTGAAGCAGAAGCCTATATACAGGCGACTGATCTGTGTACGATAAAACAGTCGGACGGGAAAAAGTTCGACAAAAGAGAAGGACGACAGAAACAGTCGTCAAACAAAGATGAGAAAAGAAAAGAGGTCTGGGCGGCTGATTCCTCTAAACAGCCGGCCCAGAAAAAGAAAAAAGAATTCAAACCATACTCCCCAAAGTATGTGTTTAACAAGGATAACCAGTTTATCCTAAAAGAAATAAAGGGACGGATCTCAATTGAGAAGCCGGTCCCCATGAAGGGTTTTGCAAACAACCGGAACCAAGATAAAATCTGTGCTTATCATGATGACGTTGGTCATCACACCAATGATTGCATCAGTATCATGCGGTACCTAGACCGCCTGGCTGAGCAAGGTGATCTTGACACTTATGTCAAGAAATCTACGGGGAACACTTCCTCAAGAAAGTTGTCGGCCAAAAAGAATCAACAGGC